CCACCATTTCTTATGTCGATAGAAATTAAGTATGATCAAGTTCACCAACTCTTAAAGATGAATGACGATATTCTATATCGTTAGTCAACTCAACAAATAGTTCTTGGCACTCAGTCATTACCGACAAATGACTGTCTCAGATAAAAGTTTTAAAAAATCTTGCGCTTTGGACAATATAAATGACCACGTAATTACTTTTTCTTTTTCGAAAGTTTGAGATGCTTTTTACAACTTTTACTGGTTATGGAAAGAGCTGCTCGAAAAGATATTCAACCCACATTTTGTTACTTTTTGAAGATAAAGCTTCTTATCATTAACCATCATATTTTGATTATTCGGGAAAGATTTGTAACACATGCTTATATACGGTCGTATATGTACTGAAAATGGTTAAATATATGAAATAGATTTAACTGTTTTAAAACACTGTCTAAATCGATCACATGTTTAACGGGACGTTAATACAAAATAATAAGATTGAAACTGGGTTATCATGAATCAAGACTTCAAATTGATTTCCGATCTCAATCAATTTATGCATCTTTAGTTAGGGGTGTGCAAAACCCGAATTATTGGAAATCCAAACACGAACCTGAACCGATAATAAGGTATTTATGTAAAACTCGAATGCCCCGAAAATCCGAAAACCGACTTTTTGAGGAAATTCCGGGTTCGGGTTGGGTTTGATTTTTGGCCACCCGATCCGTCTGAAAACCTGATATATATATATATATATATAATATATATATATAATATATATATATATATATTTATTTATCTAATTATCTTTTGAATATCTTAGTCATTCGTGTTTTTTTTTTCTAATTTCTAAGCATACTATCGATTTATCAATCATGTAAATCGATTGAATTCATTGTCAAAGTCTATTGGATATATATATATATATATATATATATATATATATATATATGTAGGGTTGGGTTCACGTGAGACCAGCATGTTTTCGTGAGACCCGTGAGACCACATTTTTACACGTAACCTTCACATCAAAAACACTGTGAAGGTTTAAAAAAAGTCGAACCTTCACAGCAAAAACACTGTGAAGGTTTTAAAAAGTCACCTTCACTGTATTTTGCTGTGAAGTTTCAAGTGTAAAATGTTGGTCTCACGGGTCTCACGAAAACAGGCTGGTCTCACATGATCCCAAGTATATATATATATATATTGCTTTATAACTAAACCCGAACTGCCGGATTAACACCCCTCTCTTTAATGAAACAATTCTTAATCAAATATTTATTTCTTTAATAATAATAATTAAAAGGCGAATTGAATGAAAAAATAACGTATTTTAACTTAATTTTTATTCTGGGTAACGTACTTTCAAACCTTTTATTTTGATACTAAATATGTAAAATTTTAAATATTTAAGTACCCGGGTAACCGGTTGAAGCATGGTAATTGGTTAATGTTTCAACCGGTTACTCGGGTACTTAAATAGTTAAAACTTTACATCTTAGATATCAAAATGGAAGTTTTAAAAATATGTTACACAAAATAGAAATCAAGTTAAAGTACGTTATTTTTAATACAATTTGTCCTTCTTATTATTATAAAAGTTCGATATTATTTATACCTTCATATTGTTTATAATATAATATAAAAATAAGAATTATAGGATAAAGTTTAGAAATTTCAAATCCCTACCCATCAAATTATGGGTTTCTACACAACAACCATCAATATTTCACACATCTTTCCATACTTTCTTGGTCAATCAATATCATGTTGTTTTCTTTTTGTAAAGCATTTAATCAAGGTGTACGCGGATTGGGTTCGACGGTTTACAACAATTTTATAATCCAACCCAATTATGGCGGTTTGAAAAAATCTCAACCCAACTCTTGCGGGTTGAGGTGGGTTGGGTTGGCTGTTAGTAGTTACATAATTTGACGAATGAAATAATTCATAAAACTTAAGTTTATGAACCATACTATAAAACGTCCTATCTAAAAAGGTTACAATATGTTTATATGACGTTTTTGGACGTTTCAACAAGTGTTTTAGAATGATTTTTAACTAAAATGTTGTATTAGTTATTTTATAGAAACGTTTTGAGAAGTGTCTCGTAAACTCATCTATTTATAGGACACCTATGTTCATATGACACTTTTTCAAGTCGTGTTGTATAAAACACTAATACGTCAAGTTATTTAAAAACATCATAGAATTTGTTAAAACGTCCAAAATCATCCTATAAACATATTGTAACTCTTTAAAAGCGTCATAGATTGATGATTCGTCCATCAAATATCTATCAATATCATTCATATTCTCCAACATATCAATTTGTTGTTGCTGCAAAAAAAATCAATATTTTTTCTTATTAATTAGATTATTTGTCATCATTCTTTGATCGTGAATCTCTTTTGGTAACCTATATGTTTAGCTAAAATGAAACAAAATATAATATCAATAAAAATTATATAAAATTTATACATTAATAATATATATATATATACACACACACACACACATAATAAACATATATATGAATAAAGTTTTATAAAAATTATATATTAACGGCGGGTTGGACGGGTTGAGCTAAGCTCAATCCAATTTCAACCCTTATAATTGGCGGGTTAGCGGTTAGGCGGTTGGGCGATTAGGCAGGTTGAGCTTAATTGGGTTGTTACCAGGTTGGTTTGGACGGCTTTCACGGGTTGACGGTTTTTTGTACATCCCTACATTTAATTTTAATTTAACAATATAATATAATTTAAAGCATATAAATTTTACTAACAAAATTAAAATAATTATTTATTGATAAGGAAAAATGTAATTTTAAAAAAAGTTTATTAAAAATATTTTATAAAAATAATAATTGAAATGATTATCATCACCTGGTACTTATTTTTCGAACACCAGATGTTAAATATGACGAGTTCTGTGCATTTAAAAAGTGTAAAATTGTCGTTGTATTAACATCTTAACATTTAGATCAGCATTTTTTTAGAGGCGGACCTCGAAATGTTTTCAACTGATTGTACCATTTTACTGTACAGAACGAATCTATGAATATTTTTCACAGTATCATCATTGGTCTTTTGGTTAATTTCTTGTTTTTCCTATGTAGGGTCCAGTGTTTGAGTTTTTTATTCCAATTTTTTTCTTCAGAATCTTAATAAGCTTGAAATTAAGAAGTCGTTTACTGAAGGCTTATTTGGCAAGTGCTTACCGGATAAATTTCCTCATCGGATGTATGTAACAAGGGCCAAGAATCATACCGGATAAGAGCAATGTGAAGGATAGAGAGTCTTACCCGGTAAGTGAAGATTACAACTTTTATTCAGGTAAGCACTTATCCAGTAAATTGTTGCATTCAATACGTTTTGATATCCTAAAACCTTATGCATCAAAGTAAATTATAGTGTTGACTCATATAGATAAACACTTACTGGGTAAGCATTTGGATAAACAGCCCCTAAATGCTAAAAACTAAGAAAATAATACAAATGACATTCAAACATGCATACTGAAGTAGGGGTGTTCATCTAATTGCACAAACCATTCATATCGTACCGCAACTTGCGGTTTAGAACCTTTTCGGTGCGATTTACGGTTTACATTTTCATCAAACCAGACGTTGCAGTACGTGTTGCGGTTTTTAATCATCATGTCACAGTTCAAACTGTAGCACACAAATATTTTTATATATCAATAAATAAATGTATTTTACATGCATAATCATTTATCAGATAAAAATAGTTAATACATTATTGATTATTTATTAATTTTTTATGTTCATTTTTATAATTTTTACATTGTAGATTCCTTATTTGAGGTTTTTTTTTTTTTTTTTGGTATTTTCTTAAATATCAACCTCAAGGGTGGTGCCTGATTGGTTTGAACTTGGCTCCAAAGGTCAAAAGTACCGGGAGGTCCCAGGTTCCAATCCAAGGAGGAATTAAAATTCTCCTGTGGTCACGGAAGTTCAAATACGATGACTCCGGGTTATCTGCAAAGCAGGTGGTCGTCCTGGGATTAGTCGGCTCACGTAACGGGTTGGATATCCAGGTTAATAAAAAAAATCATAGTCGAATTTATTTTGAAGTTAACCTTTCAAATATATATAAATTGACTACTGAACTCTATACTTTACGTGGCACTATTTTTAATCACACGTTTCGAACGTATTAGAACTTTTTATTGTATGGAATTCAAAAACGTCACCAAATCGAATTTATTTCAAAGTTGTGATTTTAAATTCTTGGATTGAAGTGTGTATGAGGTACAAACCGCACCGCGTCGCAGTTTAAGACATACAGTGTGGTTTCAGAGAATCTTCAAACCGCATATGTGGTGCGTTTGGCCCTAAACTGCATCGTGAGCACCCCGACCTGGAAGAGAGAAAAGACTGAGCAAACCAACTCTACCAATAAAAACTTGTATAATTACTGTAGTTTTAGGAAATATACGATCATACTCAACAAAATAATACAATGTCACATTTACACTGTAACAAAGAAACGAAGCGGTGAACCATACCACCGTATACACCGTTCGATGCAATCAAACTAGGGTAGATTAATAATATTTTAGTTTATGTCACATTCTTGTTCCATCTTGTTTCATTTATTTAGGTGGAATAAGAAAAAAACCTCTTTTGTCTCATGTTGTTCCATCTTATCTCAATTCTTGGCCTTGTCTTATATCGCGCCAAACGTGGGACAGTAAGTTCTTGTTTAATCCCATGTTGCACCAAACATGAGAGAGTTGGTTTTGTCTCATCCTGTTTCGTCCCATATACCTTACAAAACATTATTTTAACAATAAAAACAAAATCAAGGCCTACCCAACAAAGAAACGAGATGAGGTCAACAAACACTTCATTGTTCCTTTTTCTACCAAGAAATTCTTTGAATGACACAGAAACCACGTTCACATGAACAACAACAACAAAATCAATCAAAATCACAAAACCCCAATTCAAAAAACTCAAAAGGGTTCTCGAATTCTCTAAATTTCTCTCTGTGGAAATGAAAAACCTCCATTGTTGTACCTTCATCATCGTCTTCTCTCTCTTCTTCCCGTTTTTCTCTGTAGCTATCGACACCATCTCGCCGACCAAACCCCTCGCTGGAAATCAAACTCTGGTCTCTAATGGTGAAGTTTTCGAGATGGGTTTCTTCAATCGAGGCAACGGTAATTTGTATTTAGGAATTTGGTACAAAAATGTCGAGATGAAAGAGTACGTTTGGGTAGCAAATAGAGACGCCCCCATTAATTCATCGGCCGGAAAATTAACAATCGAGGAGAATGGAAAGTTGGTCGTTGTGGATCAGAGTGAAACCGCCGTCTGGTGGACTAACCAATCGGCACCGGCGGTGGAGAACATGGTGGGACAGCTGCTCGACAACGGAAACTTTGTTGTTCGCCGTGAAAATGATGACGACGAGAAGAATTACATCTGGCAGAGCTTTGATTTTCCGACGGATACTTTGTTGCCGGAGATGAAAATCGGGTGGAGCCGGAGAACCGGAGTGAACCGGTTTTTACAGTCGTGGAAGACCGCCACCGATCCGGGTTCCGGCGAGTATTCTTTCAAAATGAATACCGATGGGTTCCCGGAGGTTTTTTTGTTGAGTATGGAAACTCCGACTTACCGGAGCGGGCCGTGGAACGGGAGAAGGTTTAGCGGTGTACCGGAGATGGTAACGGCGAACTTAATCGAGTTCGAATTCGAAAACAATTCCGAGGAGATTACATACTCATTCGAAATGCGAAACACTTCCGTTTATTCCCGATTGATTATGAATTCTTCGGGATTGCTTCAACGATTCACGTGGGTAGAAACATCGAAAACGTGGAGCAATTACTGGTTCGCTCCACGCGATCAATGCGATTACTACGGCGAATGTGGGCCGTTCGGCATTTGCGATTCGAACCTGTCTCCAGTTTGCAAATGTCCGAAGGGATTCCGGCCAAAAAACCAGCAAGCGTGGGATTTACGAGATGGGTCGGGCGGGTGTGTTCGGAGCTCCGAATTGGATTGCGGGTCGGACGGATTTCTGCCATTGAAGAACATGAAATTGCCGGTAAGCTCGAAAGCGTTCGTCGATCGGAGTATGAATTTGAGCCGGTGTGAAGAGATTTGTAAACGGAATTGTGCTTGTGCTGCTTATGCTAATATGGATATCACTTCCGGCGGGTCGGGTTGTGTGATTTGGGCCGTGGATCTTTTCGATATGAGACAATATGCTGACACCGAAAATGGTGGTCAAGATCTTTACGTTAGAGTTGCAGCTTCTGATTTGGGTACGTCTTTTTTTTCTAACTTCTGATAAAATGGAATTTTCCATCGGAGGGTAGTTTTACGTGCATTAACGACTTGTACCTTACAAGTCGTTAGTATCGTTATTGTACCCTTTGATAGAAATGGTATACTTTTTCGAATTTTAGTTTGCATGCTTAAAATTAACATAGAAGGTTAACGATATGTGCATTAACAACTTGTACCATACGTTTCTGACTTGAAATATTCCATTGGAGGGTAGTTTTACGTGCATTAATGACTTGTACCTTACAAGTCTTTAGTATCGTTGTTATACCCTTCGTTGGAAAAGGTATACTTTTTCGAATTTTAGTTTGCATGCTTAAAGTTAACATAGAAGGTTCACGATATGTGCATTAACAACTTGTACCATACGTCTCTGACTTGAAATTTCCCATCCGAGGGTAGTTTTACGTGCATACGACTTGTACCTTACAAGTCGTTAGTATCGTTATGGTACCCTTCGATGGAATTTTTTAAATTTTAGTTTGCATGATCTTTGAGCATAAACGTGGAAGTTAGAATTTAAAGTTAAAAATACGTGCATTAACAACTTGTACCATACGTCTTTTGAAAATTTCCATTGGAGGTTAGTTTTATGTGTAGCGATGACTTATACTATACAAGTCATTGATACTGTAATTGTACCCTTCGATGGAAATTTTCAACCATGAACTGAAAAGTTACCATAGAAGGGTCACGATACGTGCATTAACAACTTGTACCATACATCTCTGACTTGAAAATTTCCATTGGAGGGTAGTTTTACGTGCATTAATGACTTGTACTATACAAGAAGTTGATAATGCTATTGTTCCCATGAACCGAAAAGTTACCATAGCTGGATAACGATACATGCATTAGCAACTTGTACCATACAGGTCGTTGTTTTACCATTACATGGAAAGCATATACCTTTTTCGGATCTATACAGGTCATAAGTTATAGAAGTCGTTTTACGTTTCATTTTACGGGAATTATATTATTAAAAATCAAATCGAATTATTTTATTAGAAATTATAAATAAATTCCAATAAAAATAATTTAAATCTTTTGTTGTCAAAAAATTCTAATATGGAGATAAAAATAATTGAATTTTAAATTAATTTTATTTTAAAAATAATAAATTAATTCAACCCTTTTTTTCTAGGGTAGATATGTTTCATTTTGTTTTCTTATTAAATAATGAATTAAAAAATAAACTTATAATTGTTTAATATGACCAAATTTTGATAATAAAGTATGTTTACTAATCGGGTAACTGTTCACTGATGTCACTTACTTTATCTGGTAAATATGAAAGAGACCGACAATCTTATTCGATAATCACTTATTAGGTAAAAGATGTTTACTGATAATTAATTTTGACGACCGGGAAATATGATAACCGAGAAAACGAGGGTGATGGTTCTGGTCAGTAAGCGTTTATCTGATAAACTTTTAGTAGATAACCCGTAAGTTACGATCCTTATTAATAAAAATAAGGATAATCAGTAAATTTTCTATACAACAGTTACCCAATTAGCAAAACAGTCTTTCCAAACTCTCCCCCTTTTTGCAAGCTTTATCTTTTCAGTTTTCGTATACGAATCTTGATTATTTTAATACACAAAGTATCATTCATAAAGCTCGTAGAGTGACCCTATTTTGCTAACCAGTCGTCTGTGGCGTTTCCAAGCTTTAAACCAGTATACATCAAAACTTACCTGACGTCGTCTTAAGTGAGTTTTATAGTTGGGACCAGCTCGTAAAAGCCCATTTTGCGAACTGGGTGGCTGTTTAATATAAATGTTTTGAAAAGTTGTTATTTTGCGATAATACCATTCTAAATCTGGGAAATCGTCCAAAATAGCCATATTTGACTCTCCCCTCGTTTTATTTATAGTCGTTTTTATACACAATTCATCAAAATAGTCAAAAATTTGACAAACAACAATTTCGCAAGTTGTTAAAGAGCTACTTGCGAAATGCTGACATGATAGCGTCACTTGCTGAAGTGCTACTTGTTACGTCAGTATTTCACAAGTAACACTTTAACAAGTATTACTTTACGAAGATACATCAATAAAAAGAGCCAACAATATGTTTAATACTTTATTGACGAAAAAGTCCACTTTTGGAATGTACAACTCATGATGCATAAGGTACAAGTAGAGGGGAAATAATTTGTGGTTCTTGACCAATTTTGGACCACCTAACATTTTACATGTGAAAGTGTCTTGACCAACCCTTTCCGTTGTCCCCGTGAATGGTTGCGTGATTCTTTTCGTTAGCAATCAAGATAAAGAAAATTACACATTTGGTCCATGGGCTTTTAAAGTTTGCTAGTTTTGACCCCTAGATTTATTTGAAAGTTTATTTTTAATCCATATACTTTCATCTTGAGTACTTTTCAACCATCTTTTTTTTAATACTCGGATGCAAAAAAAAAAAAAAAAACCTGTACTCGTACCCGTTTTGACTATCTCTAAGTTGGTTGGAATAGGGATTCCTGAAATTAAAAACTCGGGATGGGGATACCTTGAACATGACACTTTTTATAGTATAAACAATAATTATAATTATATATATAGACTTGAGATCATTTGAGACCAAATTATTTTCGTGAGACCACTTAAATAACACTGAACTTTCACAGTGTTTTTGCTGTAAAGATTCGTTGTTTTTCATACCTTTACAATTAATTACTGTGAAGTTTGGTCTTACGAAAACATGTTGGTTTCACCTGAACCCAACCCTATTATATAGTAAAGGTGGAGGTTCAAACGAGAATATCTAAATTTTACAAAAAACACCCTTATTACATGTGAATGAACCTGATGATGTATGACGACTTGGCTAGTGATCTATGCGTCAAAGGTCGTTTCATGTCTCTGATTTAGTATCTAATGTGATGAAATACAATATCATGTATAGTAAAAGAAAAAAAGGTTTTTCATGTTTTCGTAAAATGAAGGTGTTCTCGTTTAAAACCTTACATATAGCATAATTATTGTCGGTGATTAAAGATTTTTAATCATTGCACCTTTTATTGTAATCAAATAATTGAAATAATCTTTTTGTAGAAAAACAAAACATGATTTTGAGACATTTACAAGAAAATATATGAAACATCATGCATTATTCACATATGAATAATGATTGTTTGGTACCATGATTGTTGTCAAAGATTTTAAAAGGTATAATGAATCATTGGCCCCACTTGCTTTGACTAACCATTCATGGTCTAAACTCCAAGCACCTACCTTCATTCATAAATCCTCTTGGTATAGTGATTGATTGACCATGTGTTTACAATGGAATTTAATACCACTTTACATGTCTTAAAAGTATTTACAATAAAATGTCTTAATTAAAACAGATGGTTATTGTCGGTTAAGGGCGTTTTAGGAATTATGGTTTTCATCGAGAAAATACAGTAGGGAACTACATGATCCTTTAAAGGGTCGTTTTAGATTATCGTTAAAGAAAATACTGAATTTGAGGGTTGTTTAGCACTTGCTGACTGTAAGTTGTTACAGGGTTAAGATACTTATCCTGTAAGAAGGGTGGTTGTTTGCCAATACTCTCTGACTTATAAATAGGGGTGCTCAAAACCCCTACCAACCCGATCAACCCAACGCGAAATAACTTAACTCGAAGCAACCTGATGTCTAATCGAGTTGCAAAATTTTCAAAATGTATGTATTGAGTTGATATTATTTGAACCCAACTCAACCCAATGAACCCGATATCCTTTTATTTATTGAATTTAATATGATTGTTGAATTTCTATTAGTATATACATTAGACAATTACACTATCACGTACGTCCTTCATGTACGCGTATTTTCAATCTATTCACATCTCTACATAACTCATTCGTATATATGTTTAGTAATTATATATGTAAATTGAGAAAATCAATTGAATGTGATACATGTAAGAAATATGAATAAGTTGTATCAAATGGTTGATGATGAGAAAGAAATTATGAGTAGAGAAATAACATATTCAAAGTCAGAAAAATATTTTAATGCACCAAAGTATCAACCTGACCAACCCTTGGGTTGGGTTGGGTTGCACTTTGGTTTGGTTGGGTTGGGTTAGGATTTTTCAAATCGGAAGCATCGGGTTAGGTTGTTCAAATGTCTTCAACCCGATCAACCTAACCCATGAGCACCCCTACTTATAAATATGTTTGACTGAGATGCTGATTCAGTAAGAAAAAAGGTTGGTTTCTGATTTGGTTAGTGCTTTAGTTAGCGCTTACCCAAACGTTTGATAATCAACCATTTTCTGTCAGCATTTATCTAGACCGTACTGTTACTCAGTCAGTGTTTATCATTGATCAACGGCTATACGTGATTAAATTATGTATCAATTCAAATAGCATTAGTTTTGTAATTTTATATTGATGAACTACTTTAATAAATTGTACGTCATGCATTAAATTTGTGTCATTTTTTTAGGGATGGACCAAATTATCCTTACAAAAGTATATCACATGCACTAATAATTGTATCTTAAATTGGTTTTTGACAATTTTAGCCTTTGAAAAATGACCCTTTAAATTTATTTCAACTGGTTAGTAGGTATACATTAATCGTTACTCATTCGTCTATTGCAGACAAACCATCGACGGCCGGATCTTCAAAGTCCGGCTCTGACAACAATGTTGCCATGATTGTCGGCATTACAGTCGGAGCTTGTGCAGTGTTGATAATTCTACTGATACTCGTTTATCTGAGGAGGAAGAAATTGCGACGATTGAATAATTCAAAGATAGATAAAAGAGGTAGTTTTGACATTTAAGAGTCGAATATCATTCCAAGTAGCATAGGAAATAATACATAAAAACCACAAAGGTGGTGCCCGATTGGTTTGAGCTTGGACTCCAAATGTCAAAAGTGTCTGGAGGTCACATGTTCGAATCCAATGAGAAATAAAAATCTCCCTGTGGCCACGAAAGTTCAAATGCGGTGACTCTGGGTTACACGCGAAGCGGGTGGTCGACCTGAGATTAGTCAGCTCGCATAGTGGGTTGGATATCTGAGATAATAAAAAAAGAGTAAATTGCGTTTTCATCTTTGTGGTTTGTTGAAAATTGCTATTTTCGTCCCCGTGATTTTGAAATTATGATTTTTTATGTTATTAATATAGGTCCACTTGAAAGAAGTCAAGATTTCTTGATGAATGAGGGGATTATTTTGTCAAGTAAAAAAGATTATTCGGGTGAAACGACGACGGATGAGCTCGAGTTACCCTTATTCGAGTTTACGACTCTCGTTATGGCCACAAACAACTTCTCTGATGCAAATAAGCTCGGGCAAGGTGGGTTTGGATGTGTTTACAAGGTAAAATAATGTACTTTTTTACATATTTTTAAAGTTAAATGTTTGTATTTCTATTTACCGGTCAGGTTTAGGTGAAACTGCAAAAAAAAAAATGAAAAACTGAGGAATACTCTGGTAACCGTTCATCTGGATGGTGTGCACATGAACAATTACCATGTTGTTCCTTAGTTTTTCATTTTTTTGGGGTTTTCTCCTGAACCTCCCTTTTCTATTTACGTGTCTACATTCCAATTTTGTCCTTAATTATGAAATGGAGAAACTAATTATTGCCTCGATTATCAAGGGTAAAGTTGTCATTTAACTAATTAAAAAGTATAATAATTACACATTTTTAAAATTATATTCCTTTTTCATGGATGTTTTGTTGGTGGTGATATTAGGGTAAGTTGATGGAAGGTGAAGTTGTAGCTATAAAAAGGCTCTCACGAACATCGGGTCAAGGGATCGAAGAACTTAAAAACGAGGTTCGATTAATCGCGAAACTTCAACACAGAAACCTCGTTCGACTACTCGGTTGTTGCATTGAGGTCGAAGAAAAGTTGTTGATATACGAGTATATGGAAAACAAAAGTCTCAATACGTTTCTTTTCAGTGAGTTTCAGGGTTTTTTTTTTCCAATCGACTCTCGGGTTTTTCGTAGTCGAGATTTAGTCATGTTTCTTGAATTCGTTGCAGATAAAGAGAAAAGCCCGCTACTTAATTGGCAAAGACGATTCGATATCATATCTGGGATCGCTCGAGGACTTCTTTATCTTCATCAAGATTCGAGGTTTAGAATCATTCATCGAGATCTTAAAGCAAGTAATATTTTGTTAGATAGGGAAATGAACCCAAAGATATCAGATTTTGGTATGGCGCGGATTTTTGGGAGCGATCAAACCGAAGCAGAAACAAAGAAAGTAGTTGGAACACAGTAAGTATCTTTTGTATTTTTCAGACGACTTTTGGACGTCGTGTGTTTTTTTTTTCTTCTTCTTATTGTTATTATTACTATTTTGCAGTGGTTATATGTCACCCGAATATGCAATGGATGGACTCTTCTCGATAAAATCAGATGTCTTTAGTTTTGGGGTTTTGGTGCTCGAGATAGTGAGCGGTAAAAAGAACAGAGGATTCTACTATGCGGATAACCAACTTAACCTCCTCGGACATGTAAGTACTAATCAGTAATAACCACTAATCTGCGGTATTTGCTTTTTTTCTTGGAGAAATACCATATAGAGTCTAAATGTGCTTGTAAATTAATTGCGTTTGCAGATAAAAATGCTAAATATAATAAAAAGGTAAAAAGTGAAGATTCACATGTGAATCTAGTGAAGAGTTTGAAAATCTATATTTGAATATGCACATGTGAATCAATGGTACAAATGGGTTACATTTGCATCTTCAAATGGATATTTTCAACTATTCACATATGAATTTTCCATTTAACATTCTTTCTTACTTTCTCATGATATTTAGACTTATTATTTGAACCTCCCGTTTGCTCCTTTTTATATTAGATTGACCAAAAAACACGATATTTTTCAGACATGGAAGCTATGGAACGAAGGGAGGGGTTTAGAACTGCTTGATGAATCCGTAGGTGCAAAATTTTCGAAAGATGAAGTATTAAGATGCATACAGATCGGATTGTTGTGTATTCAAGAACAAGCAGACGACCGACCTAATATGTCGAAAGTGTTGTTAATGTTGAGCAGTGAAGTCGTACAACTGGCACAGCCGAAATACCCTGGATTCTGTCTCGGAAAGCGGCATTTCGAAGCCGAGTCATCGAGCAAGCAAGATGAATCCATGACCGTGAATGAAATCACGGTCACTATACTTGATGGCCGGTAGCCCAAACCACGTTAACCATCATCATCTCATACCAATTTGTACATTATGTTTCCACTTTTTTAATCATTCTTTTTATGTCATGTTTTACATGATCCACGATTTTTGTAGATACATAAAATATATATATATATATATATATATAATATCAGTGCGGAATGATTATTTGAGAACCCATAAAATTGTGATAACTTTGAAAACAATAATGCATTATTTCACATAATTTTTTCCACTTACCTTACGGTTAAATTTAATTTAAGGTAATGATTAACATATATTTTTCACAATATATATGTTTCACATATATTTATTGTAAGTAACCCAGTCTAATAGGTCTTCTAGAGTAGAGATGGCTAAATGGGTCCGGCCCGGCCCAGGACCGACTTAGGACCGGATCGACCCGAGACCGGTTTGGGATTGCCGGTTATGGTTTTCATCCAAAAACAAGACCCGGTCCGTTCTAGGACCAGCCTGATTATTTTTCAAAAAAAATGTATTTTTATATGTATTTCTAAGTGTATTTGATTGAAAATCAAATTACAAATTTACAATAAAACATATTTTTTAAGTGTATTTGATGGAAAACCAATTATAAAACTAATTTTTAAGTGTATTTGATTGAAAACCAATTATAAAACAAACGTATTTTTTAAGTGTATCTGATTGTCTAAATTAGATTATTTAAAGTGTATTAGAATAACATTAAAGTTTTTTTAAAAATTTATCAAAAAAAGTTAAAAAAAATTGTATAAAGAAAATGTTTTTTTTTTGTATAGGCCCGGCCTTGGACCGGTTACCGTAACCGATTACAAAAACCCTTAACCGGGAGTTAGTATTTCGACGGGACCGGGACGGTGTAACCGGTCTGGATTGTTACTGTTTTAGCCCATGATCGATTTGGGCCCGGCCCTGCCCAGGACCGGTTTTTGGCCATGTCTATTCTAGAGTCTAAACAAACGTTGTAAGTAATCCCCTTAAATTTGTCGAGACACGGAAGTTTGATGAAAAATGTTGTTTTCGTTTGTTTTTTGTGTGCATATGGACGTAATTATGTTATATGTATCGCGACATTTCACTCCGTGTTGTATGGACAACCAAACTTTGTATTATATAGACTATGAAAAATTATTGCCACATCCCACGATCACATTTCGATACAACCATCATAAACCGCATCGCATTTTACTGTGTGGTACTTGCGGTTTGAGGCACATGGGGTTTGAAAAAACGCTCAAACTGCAAATATTGTTTGGTTTGCGGTCTTTGGCTCTAAATTGCACCACGTAGCAGTTTTAAGTACAAAACGACATTAAGGACGCGTTCAGGGATTACAACGATAACGTTAAAACGTTTGTACTCGAGGACTCCACATTGATCCGAACTGGATCCATAATATGAGAATTAAGGACGGATATATTACTGTTTTGTTTTACATGAGCTGTAAACATACATATTGACGTTTTCTACTTACTATCTCGTTTACTACGGATCAAAAAGCCGCCCTAAATATTTTCGTGTTCATTGTTTGCATGTCTTGAAACTTGTAACTTCTTTTTTGTAAAATCTTATGTTGGTGATTTTAGTGTCATCAAGCCATTTAGTATGATCGGGATTAATGTGAGACAAGCCGAAATTAGATTTAATTATAATTCGATCCTAAAGGTGCAGAGTGCACGCACAGATAAGTTAAGTTCATCTCGGGAATGCGAGGGGCCAGGAGAAGCGCCCCTGGTGGGGTTTCAAGGGGCATCGCCCTGACAGCGTTCCCGCTCATTGGTGTTACAGAGCTCGTCTGATTAAGTTAAAAGACTTCGCCTTTTTTTTTTTCGAGGTCAGTTTAAGCTCAAGAAGTATCAAGGGGGTGTTTGAGATTGCTTATTTAAAGCAACTTATGCTTTTTTGTAAAAGTGTTTATTAACTTATATGATGTCAAACCGGAGTTTTGTAAAAAGTGTTTGGATTAGCTTATAACAGTACCAAAAAAACAATAAACTGATAAGTTGTTTTTTAGTGTTTGACAAATTTTGCTTATATATGTAAAATGACCAAAAAGGACAGTCTTCCATATTATTGACTTATTTGATTTTTTTAACATGTAAAAATTTGTTTTTCATCATTTATAATAATATCTTTGACAAAAATTTATATCAATAAGATTAATAATTAACAAACATTAATAAAACAAAGTTAAAATGGTAAACTGGTAATAAACAGTTTTTCATAAGTCAGAAAAGATTAACTTATCAAAAACTGCTTATTATCTGTTTGACACCGGAATAAGCAGTTTTATTTTTCCTCATCCAAACATTAGCATTTAGCTTATCACCGATGCCAGACTAAAATAAATAAATAAAAACACCTAAAATAAGCAATCTCAAACACCCTCTAAGTTCGAACTCAAGTAACTCGATAAATACACCGTACAATTAAACAATACAATACAAAAAGAGGACCGTTTTTGCCCAAATATGAAATTTCAAGGGGGTTAATTGAAACATTGAAACGACATCTCACGGAAAACATGTTTTTTTTTTGTTTATTTATATATTTGAAACGTACGACTTTGAAAAAGCGAAAAAACAGTCCCCAAGTTTCCCCTCCGTTTCCGGCAAAAGCAACCGACACTTTACCTAACAAAACATGTTCCAAGTGCAACATAAAAAAATAAAATACCGAATTTTATCTGATTCCGTTAGATGTTATCAATTTCGTTACGTTTTTAAACGGTACGATCTCGAGCTCGACTTTTGTTGATCGTATAAATCGAACTTCATAACAGCAACGGACCCATGATTTATCTGAATGGATGTACCTAGTGGCGGATCCAGAATTTTTGCCTAGTGGAGGCAGCCAGGGACGGACCCATGATTTTTTTTTCAAAAGGTGACATCATTTGACTATAAGAAAAAACTATGGGGAAATTTTTTCAAATAGTGGCACCGGTTGACTATAAGAAACAAATATACGAATTTTTTTTCAATCGATACCACTATTTGACTAAGAAATGACATTAACAAGATTTGAATTTGGGTCTGGAGTGAAATAAAAGTTTTGCAAACCAACTCTAACAAATAAAATTTGTTCTCATTGTAGTTTCAAAATACATACGGTGACACAAAACAGATTAATACGGTTGCACCTTTCACAAACCTAATTTTTTTTACCATTCGACGGAGAAATAATACGGTGACACGTGCCACCGTAACCACCATGGTGGGTCCGCCGATGGGGGCACCTTTAAAGTATATTAAAGGGCCCCAAAGTTTTCATATGAGTTGAGTAAAGAGTTAAATTGAGTTTGGTTTAAAAATGCATTTTTAGCACGTAATGGGCTGTGTTGAATTGAGTTGAACCGTCAATATTTTTGGAAATTTATAAATAATTAGCATATCAAATAGGTTCGGAATTTTTTCACCTTCACAGTGTTTTGTTGTAAAGTTTCAAGGGTAAAAAAGTTGTCACACAGGTCTCACGAAAATATATTGGTCTCACGTGAACTCAACCCTTATTAAAATTATAAGCATTTTGAACTTTGTTGATCTATTTAAAACATTGCAAGCCTTTAAGAGAACACAATGTTATACTGTCTTTTACACGCGACTCTAACATATTCTATTTTGGAAATATCAGTATTAATTATATTATTAAAATACTGTGGAGTAAATTGAATTTTCCATCCCTGTAGTTAGGTGTTTTAAACAGTCCTTATTCTCTTTTTTAATAATTTAACGGACTTATGAGTTTTTGCTTCTGCAAAGGTTGCATTCTCACTACCTCTTTAAGCGTCATAATATAATATTTTATATAAAGTTGTTAGAATGATTAAGAAATTCTCATGATGTAGTGCAAAATGAAGTAAAATTGTCTGGTAATTATTTACAACGAAATTAGGGCGCTGAATGGTTAAGGAAGACCCATGATACAAAATCATTTAGAGGGTTTTAAAACCATTAAGAAACAGACTTTTTTTTTTATCAAACAAGATTCATCTCTTAACGATTCAAAGACTGTGTCTTAATCGTTATCTGATCTGTATATGAAACGTAGATAAGACAATACCTTATAAAGTAGAACTTTATCTGATTTGAATAGATACGAAAATGGACTAAACAAAGGCTGAATGCCACAATTGTCAAAAAGAATGTTAAGTATTTTTAATAGATTGTGTGCATAATATTATCCATTAAGCTTTCTATTCTTGGACATTTTTTATTTTTATTTTTATTTTAAAAAATATATATTAATTATTTACTTTTTATGTTTTCATGTATTTATAAATATTAATTTAACGGTTGTCTGTTTGGTTTTTTATTAAATCTTGTATGGATAAAGTTGTCTGTATGGATTATTCTGTCTGTATAAATTGAAAAGATTTTTGTTTGGAGAGTTTTTCTGTATATGGAAAAAAACGTGTTTTTAAAGAAGAGGGACATGTTTGAAAAATTCTTGACTTTCTACATAAAACTCTCTTTAGAAGTTTACAGAATAAGCCGCTACCAAATATATATATATATATATATATATAGAAAATTATAGTGTTCAATATGTAGATAGATGTATACAGTTTCACATATTTATTCATCAGCATTACAAAATTTACATCTAAATTATATAATTAGCATTCATTTAAACAAAAATATGTGATTGACGGTATGCAATACATTTAAATCATATTAAAATATATCAATTGAGAGAGGTGAGGATCAATTTGGTAAGGATCGATTGAGAGAAATGAAATTGATTAAGGTTAAACGACCGAGCAACGTTGTTGCTAAGGGTCTAGAGAACAATAAGAAGCAAATAAGATGTTGGTTTACCTCTTACCAGATAAGAGGACAATAAAACATAAGTGTCTATGAAAAATTGAAAAAAACAAACAGTCTAAATGACACTACCTCTTAACGAATCAGACATAAGAGTTTTTTTTTTTTTTTTTAACAAACAAGGCCTAATTAAAAACTAGTTTATGTTTGCCAAACATGGCTAAAGGACGTTGCTTCTGTATAATTTTGTC